TAGGGGAGGTGTAGGGAGTTGTTGTCAGGTGTTGGGAGGTGTAGGGAGGTGTTGTCAGGTGTTGGGAGGTGTTGTCAGGTGTTTGGAGGTGTAGGGAGGCTTGAGAAGCGTTGCTTAGTTTGTAAGGTACTTTAGGCGTTGTGAAATAAGATTTTGTGATGTGTTGTGAAGCGTTGTGAGGTGTTATGAGGCGTTGTGAGGTGTTATGAGGCGTTGTGAGGTGTTATGAGGCGTTGTGAGGTGTTATGAGGCGTTGTGAGGTGTTATGAGGCGTTGTGAGGTGTTATGAGGCGTTGTGAGGTGTTATGAGGCGTTGTGAGGTGTTATGAGGCGTTGTGAGGTGTTATGAGGCGTTGTGAGGTGTTATGAGGCGTTGTGAGGTGTTATGAGGCGTTGTGAGGTGTTATGAGGCGTTGTGAGGTGTTATGAGGCGTTGTGAGGTGTTATGAGGCGTTGTGAGATGTTATGAGGCGTTGTGAGGTGTTATGAGGCGTTGTGAGGTGTTATGAGGCGTTGTGAGGTGTTATGAGGCGTTATGAGGTGTTATGAGGCGTTGTGAGGTGTTATGAGGCGTTGTGAGGTGTTATGAGGCGTTGTGAGGTGTTATGAGGCGTTGTGAGGTATTATGAGGCGTTGTGAGGTGTTATGAGGCGTTGTGACGTGTTATGAGGCGTTGTGAGGTGTTATGAGGCGTTGTGAGGTGTTATGAGGCGTTGTGAGGTGTTATGAGGCGTTGAGAGGTGTTATGAGGCGTTGTGACGTGTTATGAGGCGTTGTGAGGTGTTATGAGGCGTTGTGAGGTGTTATGAGGCGTTGTGAGGTGTTATGAGGCGTTGTGAGGTGTTATGAGGCGTTGTGACGTGTTATGAGGCGTTGTGACGTGTTATGAGTCGTTGTGAGGTGTTATGAGGCGTTGCGATGTGTTATGAGGCGTTGTGAGGTGTTATGAGGCGTTATAAAAAATTGAGGATTTGTGAGGAGTTCTTATTAGGTTGTGAGGCATTATGAGCCGTTGAGGCATTTTGGAATGTTGAGTCATTGTGAGGGGTTTAAGTCGTTAATAGGAGTTGTGAGGAGTTATGAGTTTCTGGAGGAGGTATTCTAAGACGTTATTTGGTATTATGAGGCGTTTTTAAGTGTTGTAAAAAGTTGTGAGGTATAATGTGGCGTTGTAAGGTGTTGTGGGGCATTATTAGGCGTTATGAGGCATCATGAGGCGTTGTGAGGCGTAAGGAGGCGTTATGAGGCATCATGAGGCGTTGTGAGGCATCAGGAAGTGTTATAAGGCGCCAGGAGGCATTGCGAGGCGCCAGGAGGCGTTGTGACGCATCAGGAGGCATTGTGAGGCCTCAGGAGGCATTGTGAGGCATCAGGATGCGTTGTGAGGCATCAGGAGGCATTGTGAGGCCTCAGGAGGCGTTGTGAGGCATCAGGAGGCATTGTGAGGCCTCAGGAGGCGTTGTGAGGCATCAGGAGGCATTGTGAGGCATCAGGAGGCATTGTGAGGCATCAGGAGGCATTGTGAGGCATCAGGAGGCGTTTTTGAGCGCGTGTTTAAGCTGGCGTATTGCTGAGCAGTATATTGTGTGAGACATTGTTCATCAGTAATAGAGAGAGCATTAAGATCTTGTTGAGCACCTTGATGGCGAGCACGGCCGGCAGGTCATTGGAGACTTCTAAATGGTGTTTTTTTTATATCACCATTTTGATTTCCAAGACACTTTACTCACGTTTCCCTCCGATCTTTGCCTCCGGGACAGGAGGAAGTGGAGGGAGCAGTACCACAGGCAGGACCCGCACTGGCGGACCGAGGGCCAGATTCACGAAGCGGTTACGAACCTGTCCATCTTTTCTCAATCTTTGGCAGCTTTGTTTACAATTATTAAACAGTTAATGACCTCCGAAGCACCAGGAGGCTGATTATAACAATAACAACAGTTTATTGGCAAGTTTTCAGTCTTGTAAACTGTTTAATAAATGTAACCCAAGCCGTCAAAGATTGAGGAAAGATGTACACGTTCGTAAGTGTACTTACTTGCCGGACAGTGTACCGGCAAGTACTTGCGTAACTGCTTCGTGAATCTGGCCCCGAGTTCTCTGCGGGGAGGATCGGTGTCAAGTGGGAGCCTGTGGTGGACTCCAGGAAGGTGTTAATACGTCACAGCTCTAGATAAGGAGTCACAGCTCTAGATAAGGAGTCACTAGCGGTTATATACCTTCAAAGCTTTTTACCTGAGATGTTTAAGGTAAAGATCAATGCCGGTGTCGTCCTCAGACCACAGATAAAGAAGATCCTGGAATATAAGGAGTTCCCAAGAAGCTCATTAGGAAGGAGATAGTGGCTTAGAACAGCTTTTTCACAATGGTTCAAGGCTTTCTGGGCAATCATAAGGCTGAAAACTATGTGGGACTGGTGATGTGCTGAAGAACTGTAGCACAGTGGGCTACACGCTCTCCCTCAAAGTTTATATCCTTCATGCTTAATTTATATGTTGAAGGAGCCCGGCGAGCACATCACCAAGATATACTGGACCTTGTACGCGGGGACCAGCACAGTATAACACCATCATGATGGTATACTACACTTGGGGGCTGAGTCGTGAATATGATATACGGTATAACTGTAAATCTCGATCACTAATCCTAAATCTTTGTGGTCATTGTTGTATGACTTAAGTTTAAATATATGATTTGTATTCATATATTGTTTTGTTCTGCACTTTTATGAACGAATAACGTCTATTCGCGCAACTTCTCATCGGAAATAAGTAAATTACAAAACGTCAATGACCTGGACACAGAAGTGACGTTTGAGGGGAATAACATATTTTCTGAACGTTTTAGGCATTGTGAGGGACATTGTATACTCGATTTAGAACACTAACCTTCTTCACTGCTCACAAAATAATTAGGAACATTTAGTAATTAATAAATTAAATTAAATTTACTTGAATGGATGCGAGTTATTTGATGGATAGTGTTGCAGGATGACTATTGCAGCGTGGATTAGCAGCATCAAGACTTGCTTGCCAGCAGTGTGCTGAAGCCCATATCCTGCAAGAATCAATCACGTTAAGAACTAAAAGATGGACCATATGCAGCATTGCGTCACTGATAAATGTAGCAGTATTTAGCAGAGGATTATACACATAAAACAGATTTAAAGAAACAAAACTATAAACCACAGAGCCTGACCGCTGTTGTCACATGGTCATGCTTCTTGACCGGAGGCACTGTACGCTGCCGGCAACACTAACCTCATACCAGTTGGCCAAAGGGAAACACTACTTAAAGGGACTTAGATTATGGAGTGTACAATGACACCGGAGGCGGCTGTCTTGTGTAGAGGGAGCAAGACAAGAGTCCAGCGTGTTGAAGGACGGCCCCGAACTTTCCAAGATGGCGACGTGCACAGAATACCTGTGTTTATTTAGCAGGAAATGTTTCAGTACTTGAGACCTTTCCTCCGTACATGTGACGGAGACGGAGATGTGCAGACAGCAGGGAGGTGTTGACCTACGTTCCATATATTACCTTTCTTTACAAGCATTTGTCTTTGATATTTCTTGGTGGAATGATTCCGGGTCACTTGCACCAGGTCGACCCGGGAACCGCCGGGTGTCCCATGAAATTATTTATGTGAACTCTCTGGTAACTACAAGTGATGTATATATAATAGCAGAGACACTCTTGAGGGCGGGAGGCTGCCGCCGGGACCAAGCTCCACAATATCTTACAGAACAACATTTGTATAACTTTGTATCATCATTAGGCCGAGGTAGCCAGGTGTGGACGCAGGATACAAGTGTCGCTTGACTATTCTAAACCTGCTCACTCGCTGACACGTGTGTGCAGGCACGCGGAGCTTAACCAACTGGTTATGTGGCGAGGCGCGAGGCGCGCCGCAGGAGCGGAGTACTACACCACTTATAATGGAACACTTAGTGACGCTTCTCAGCTATAACACAGTAGACAAGTGAACGCTAAGTCAGCAGTGAGTTTATCCTGCCCACACCTAGCCTCCGCTACACCTAGCCCTTCCCTACACTTAGCCCTTCCCTACACCTAGCCTCTGCTACACCTAGCCCTTCCTTACACCTAGCCCTTCCCTACACCTAGCCCTTCCCTACACCTAGCCTCCGCTACACCTAGCCCTTCCCTACACCTAGCCCTTCCCTACACCTAGCCTCCGCTACACCTAGCCCTTCCCTACACCTAGCCCTTCCCTACACCTAGCCTCCGCTACACCTAGCCCTTTCCTACACCTAGCCCTTCCCTACACCTAGCCTCCGCTACACCTAGCCCTTCCCTACACCTAGCTCTTCCCTACACCTAGCTCTTCCCTACACCTAGCCTCCACTACACCTAGCCCTTCCCTACACCTAGCCTCCGCTACGCCTAGCCCTTCCCTACACCTAGCCCTTCCCTACACCTAGCCCTTCCCTACACCTAGCCTCCGCTACACCTAGCCCTTCCCTACACCTAGCCTCTGCTACACCTAGCCCTTCCCTACACCTAGCCCTTCCCTACACCTAGCCTCCGCTACACCTAGCCCTTCCCTACACCTAGCCTCCGCTACACCTAGCCCTTCCCAACACCTAGCCTCCGCTACACCTAGCCCTTCCCTACACCTAGCCTCCGCTACACCTAGCCCTTCCCTACACCTAGCCTCCGCTACACCTAGCCCTTCCCTACACCTAGCCTCCGCTACACCTAGCCCTTCCCTACACCTAGCCTCCGCTACACCTAGCCCTTCCCTACACCTAGCCTCCGCTACACCTAGCCCTTCCCTACACCTAGCCTCCGCTACACCTAGCCCTTCCCTACACCTAGCCCTTCCCTACACCTAGCCCTTCTCTACACCTAGCCTCCGCTACACCTAGCCCTTAACCACAACCACACTTTCTCGCACCATGAAATGTCTCCCACAGCATACTGACCATGTGGTGTCTCCCACAGCATACTCCCACAGCATACTGACCATGTGGTGTCTCCCGCAGCATGAGTGGTGCCCGGAGAGCCGTGCTGGTGCCCGTGGTACTGCTGGGTACCCTGCTCACCACGGTACTGGAGCCCGTCACCTGCTGCGAGTACCGGGCCGTCGACCCTCGCCACACCATGTGTACCTTCCTCCCCAGACAGTGTACCGGCAAGACCATCCTCCGTGAGTACCCCTTCTCCAGCCCCTTGTTGCTAGCCCCTGTTGCTAGCCCCTTACACCTTGTTGCTAGCCCCTGTTGCTAGCCCCTTACACCTTGTTGCTAGCCCCTGTTGCTAGCCCCTTACACCTTGTTGCTAGCCCCTTACACCTTGTTGCTAGCCCCTGTTGCTAGCCCCTTACACCTTGTTGCTAGCCCCTGTTGCTAGCCCCTTACACCTTGTTGCTAGCCCCTGTTGCTAGCCCCTTACACCTTGTTGCTAGCCCCTTGTTGCTAGCCCCTTATCCCTTGTTGCTCACCCCTTACTCCTTGTTGCTAGCCCCTTACCCCTTGTTGCTCACCCCTTACCCCTTGTTCCTAGCCCCTTACCCCTGTGTTGAGGGCTGGTGCAGCAGCACTCGGGTCTACCGAGATTGTGACGAGTGAAATGCGGGATACTGGAGAGTGTGTAGCATGAGGGCTCAGTATGACTTGCCAGTGTGGAGTGCACACTTCACTGACCTCACTGCACACTTCACTGACCTCACTGCACGGCGGCCGAGCCAACCTGGCCCATTGGTCATGCTCTTCACCATCACCAGGTGCTGCGGTGACCTGTTAATTGTGTAATATACAAGAAGAGTGGCCAAGGTATTTTGTTAATTATATAAACGACTACAGCAAGGTAATTATTGATTAATACAAACCCCGAAATATTCAAGACTTGACTAATGAATCGACGAAGAGTAACCAAAAGGATAGGGAATAGTCACACACAGATATCACAATAGCGTGATGGATCAAATGAACAAGAGGTAGAACGGCCTGTTGACATAGCTCGAGTGCATGGGGGGAGTTGTGTAAAACCCTGGTTTGTGTCTCGGAGAGGCTACAGGATCCGTTGGTAAATCAGGATGTTTTCTTGGTTGTGGGAAAAACCTGCTGGGATTGATATAAGAGGAGACTACCAGGGACTTGTACTGAACTAAATTAAAAATTTACTGTCTGCAAATTAATTCAATTAAAATCTCTAGCTAGGGTTGTAAATCCTAGATCCTCTTTTCCTAATGACAGATTGTGGGCTGTAAGGGACAGGTGGGGTGAATGACTTTGTTGATAGAAGTTCCAGTCCACCTGTAGACAGGGATCTCACATCAGCTTGTATTTTATACAAGGAGAAGATTTAATAAATTCAGTTATCTGACTGAACACTGGCTCTGTTTAAATCAGGGATTTAAACATACATAGTCTAACCCAGCACCATAACACCCACAGTCTCCGTGGTGTAGTGGTAAGACACTCGCCTGGCGTTCCACGAGCGCTATGTCATGGGTTCGTATCCTGGCCGGGGAGGATTTACTGGGCGCAATTCCTTAACTGTAGCCTCTGTTTAACGCAACAGTAAAATGTGTACTTGGATGAAAAAACGATTCTTCGCGGCAGGGGATCGTATTCCAGGGACCTGCCCGAAACGCTACGCGTACTAGTGGCTGTACAAGAATGTAACAACTCTTGTATATATCTCAAAAAAAACAAAAAAAAAACTATTAACAGCCAATATGTACTTATACTATAAACAACAAATTAAATTGTAAAAGTATAATTAATGACCTTAAATGTAGTCTAAATACTGTTAACTTAGTACTAGAAATTATATTCAATTAAATGAACTTATATGATAACTTAAAAATAACTAAGCAAGCAATTGATAACTTAATTTATATATTCAAATATATATGCAGACATATTCAATTTAATGATACAGTTAGCTTGAGTGAATCTCTTCCAACACTATGGACACTTGTGAGGTTCTTACTTATTGAGGCTGAATTCTTTCTGACACAATGGACACTCATGAGGTTCAGTACTTGGATAAGATTCACAGCTACGCTACAATTTTAATAAACTTACTGAAATGTGAGGCTTCGCCTCGCTTTTTAACCAACAGACAGATTTATCGGATATTAAAGTCACACAAGCATACAATTGGCCAATCATATACCAAATAACATTCAATATACTTCTCTGCCAGTCGGGGTGCCTTGTCTGACAAGGTGCCAGACAGATTAACTCTCTCTTGTTGAGTTTAGGCACGATATTTTGCCACAGCGTTGCTGTATGATGATCTGGTAGCGTTGCTACGTGATTATCCCTGCAGTTGCAGAAGAATGATTTGAGATAAAGAATAGGAATGAAGGTGGTGGAAACCGCGTCACTGTGATCTCCACTAAACACTCTTATTTTATATAAATGTTCTAGGATTTTCCTTGTAGATATTGTCCAGGTACTCCCCCAGTTCTAGAGAGTATTCACTGGCGATGAAAATATTAGATAAGGTGTCCTTGAGCTGGTAATGTTCGCTAAGGATCAGTCACTTGTTCACTCAGTTGTAAACAAACACAAAGTGCTCGAGGCATCGTCGTGGGCGCTTCTCGCCCCCGAGATCCTCCCCCCTCTCCCTTGAGAGGTAGCTTTCAATGAATATTGATTGATTATTTTTACAGTCTAGACTTATGATTGAAATAAGATGTGATTATAATATAATTAGATATAGGATATAAAGATTATAAGTAGTATTTGAAAGTACCACTGAATCTTATTAAAGATTGGATTTTTAATCTCTACCGGAAGCGAATAAATGTTCCAATAGTTTTTTAATTAAGAAATCCTTCTAGAAGCTTCTGGATCCTTGAGAGATCATGTACAAAGTCACGTAGGCATCAAAAGGGCCCCTGTTGCGTACGTGTTCATGGTGCCATTATCATCCAGGATCAAGCTATAAAATGAATCTTTAATGATTCTAATATGATTTTGATATGATATAGAAATTATACATTTCTTAGATGATTATTAGATATGGTGGGTAAAAATTTCCCACATCTTCCAGAGGGAGAGAACTGGCACAGAGTCCAATACTTAGGACAATAGTAACCATATGTATTTATTTACTCTCCATTGGATTGATAATACAAGTGCAAATTTTGCTTGCACTTTTGTGCTGCTGTCCGTTGTGGACGATTGTGTCTGTTAGGAGTCTGTGGGTCTTGTGGAGTTAGAGTCTCTTGAGGTCTCTCAGGATCTAACTGCAGCTGACTCACTGATTCCATGTGGATGAGTTTGTCCAATGTCTTCAGGGAAGTTGTTCCTTTAGACAGGATTTTTACTATTCTCAAAATCCCCTGACTATCTGGATGGACTGAGACAACTTTACCTAATGGCCAGTCAGCCCTAGGGCCATCACTGTCTACCAAGACAATATCGCCAGGTTGGAGATTAGATATATTATGTGGGACATTGGCCCCATAGTGATGTTCTCGTAGAGATGTAAGATATTCTTTTGTCCAAACATCATTCCATTTTTGGATTATGCTGGACAGATGCTTATACCCCTGAACCAACTCGCTCTGACCCACATATGAGGGATCTCTGATCTCATCATCCACTAGAGATGGTACTGGAGTCAGAAGTCTTCCATACATTAGGTGGGCAGGACTTAATGGCTCATGTTGAGTAGGATCCTCAGACAAGTAAGTCAACGGCTGGTTATTCACCCTTGATTCTATTTCCGTGATTACTGTCTGGAGTTCTTGAAGATTGATTTTTTGACGGTGTAGAGATTTTCTCAAGGATCTTTTTACAGTTCCTATTAACCGTTCATAAAATCCTCCGTGCCATGGGGCTCTCGGAGGGATAAATTTCCATCTGCAATGACGCTGTTCCAGTGTGGAAGTAACTGCAGGATGGGAACAGATTTCCCGTAGACATGCTTCTCCAGCTACCAAGTTTGCTCCGTTATCTGAAATCATCAGCTTAGGGCATGATCGGCGTGCTGCGAATCTGCGGAAAGCTTGAATAAATGATTGAGCAGTCATATCGGGTGTTACCTCTAGATGTACTGCCCTGGTGGTAGCACAGGTGAACAGACAGATGTATGCCTTGATAGGTTGCTTATCTGCAGTCCCTGTTAGATATATTGCTCCTGTATAATCTACTCCTGTCGTTTCGAAAGGTTGTAGATGGACCACTCGTTCCTTTGGTAGGGGTGGTGGCCCTGGATAAGAGCAAGTTCTTGCATCGTACCTTCGGCATATCATGCAATTCTTTAAGATTGATTTGACTGACTGTCTTCCCTGAGGAATCCAGTACTGCTGTCTGATTTGTGTGAGTGTGTCTAACACTCCTCCATGTTTGATGATTTGTTGATGTGTATGTAACACAATCAACCTTGTGATCCAATGATTTTTTGGTAAAAGCCATGGATGCACGGTATCTAGATTAATATCTGTGTGTTTAAGTCTCCCTCCACAACGCAGAATGTTGTGATTTTCTTGGTCTATCCACAGACCGAGATTGTGTTTTAACTTATGCTGAAGATTTTCATAGTTATTCCCATAAGTTTCTCTCTGGGCTTGTCTTACCCAATAGATAAGTGCATCAGGAAAAGTGTATTTTATACCTTTTTTCCTGAGATAATGAAACACGTTCTGTGTTACATTGATTAATTTGATGAGCGAGGAGTAACGAGTACAATCCAAGACTGATATTTGAGCTTGCTGCCTGGTGGTAGTTATGGTTTGTGTTGTAATGACGTGTGGCTTTTGTTCAGGCCAACTACAATTCACTAACCATCAAGGCCCATGAAACCAAATATCTGCCTTTGCAAACTGTTTAAATGTCATACCTCTTGATAAGAGATCAGCTGGATTATCCTTTGTTGGTACATGCAACAATTGAAAGCCTGCGGAAATTTCTTTAATTTCCGAGACGCGATTTTTTACATATGGAGTTGGACAGTTGTCGTTTCGTACCCATTGTAAGACAGCTTCATTGTCAGACCATATAATGACATCTTTGATGTTCATGGTAGACAAGACTTGTTTGATATGCACTGCTAAGCGTGTGCCAGTTAGCAGTGCTGTTAGTTCCATCTGAGGCAAAGTCCTCTTTTTTAATGGAGCGACTCTGGCCTTAGAGGTGATAAGATATGATTGATGAGAAGTCACTAAGTAAGCCCAAGCTCCAAAAG